AAACCGCACACCCCTCCCCCTTTTTTTTGTTTCTTTCCATTTTTTGTTGTTTCCTCCTTTGCTTTCTTTCTTGATTTGATTTTATTTCCTCTTTTGTTTTCCCCCTCTTTCCATATTTTCAAAAGAAAACCCTTTCCTTTTTAAAACTCCTTCTTCTTCCTTCCATCCCTCCACCATTGTTTCTTTCTCCAAACCCATACAAAATTTCGGATTTTTGTTCCCCTCTTGGCCGAAATTAATCACTCCTCCAAGCTAGGGTTTCATCATCTTCAACCTCAAGAAAAGCCTCTTGATTTGGTAAGTTCTCTTTCAAAACTTTCCTCTTTTTCAAGAAAGATTGTAGCTTTATGTTTGTGATGGGGGTATGCTATGAAAACTTTCCTCTTTTTCAAGAAAGATTGTAGCTTTATGTTTGTGATGGGGGTATGCTATGAATTCATATGCAAAGATCACAACTTTTGAGAAAGATTGTAGCTTTATGTTTGTGATGGGGGTATGCTATGAATTCATATGCAAAGATCACAACTTTTGTTCTCATGAGTTAAAAGATAGGCTCTTTGATGATGGGTTGTGAATGCACAAAGCTTTGGGGGGTTTTATGCAAAATTTGCAATGGGGCCGAAATTTGGGGGGACTTTTATGCAAAATGGGACTGAAATTCATAGGGGCTTTTATGCAAAATGGGACTGAAATTTTGAGGCTTGGATGTTTGACACAATTGGCCACAACTTTGAGATGTACTTCATGCAAAGAGATCACAAATTGTTAAGGGTTTATTTGCAAAATTACCCATAAATGTTTTAGAGGGACTTATTTGCAAAAAGGGGGCAGAAAATTCAAGGCTGAAAACCAAGAAGTTTAGACCACAAAACCACGATCAAAGTTTCGAGAGGGATATGTGGGCGTTAAATTGAAATTTATGAAGGGGTCTATATGCAAAATTGGCTAAATTCTACAAAAGGGCTTATTTGCAAAATTAACCAAAATTGTAGGGTATCAGGTGTGCTATATGATCAGATATGATGACCATGACCCAACTCGAGCGTGTCCTTGACCCGAATTTAGCCTTGAACACGAGGGGTATTTTGGGTATTCACCAAAACTTACCGTGAAAATGACAATCATTGTTTCGCATGCACGAAATTTGTAGGTTTAATTAGACTTCAACTATAAAATCCTATTTACTCATAGGACTTTAGTTCATGTTCTTAGTTTCCCTTTTATATTTCGTGTATTCATACTGCACCTGACTTGCTGCTTTTCATTGCAGGTTTTTTGATGTCTCCGCGTCGACCTCGACTTCCTAGGGGTCGCTCCCGTTCACAGCCCAGCGAGGAAGAAGTTCCTACAGCGTCCTCCCCTCCAGCGGCCTCCTTTTTTGAGGGTGAGAATCTTTATTTCTGTATCCCTGATTGATCCCTTCGCGGGTCATTAAGGAAGAACTGATCCCCTCTTTCGCGGAGGTTAAGGTTTCAGACTTGTTTTGCTTAGCCAATTCAAGTCTTCTGGTATATTGGGGCGATCTCGTGTCGTCTTACACTTTATAGGTCGGCGTACGTTACCACGTTATCTATGTGGTGATGCATACCGTTCTTCCAGTGTAAGACACTCAGAATCGTCTCTCCAATCACCCTGTGAATGATCTTATCTGACTTTATCCTTGTCTTGTTGCAGTCGAGTTCCCCTCGGGCAACCTCCCTCATCATGCCCCTACTGGTTGTAGCAGAGAAGTTTTCTCTTCGGCTTCCATCGGGCAGGCCATTGGTCCACTTCCTCAGTTCGACAGAGACCGCTCCGACGAATCCTATCGTTTGATACGGGAGGGAGGGCGCCATTGCTTACGCCAGTTGATTACGGACGCCTCCTTCACTGCAGATTCTACTTCCACTCAGGCTTTAAAGAAGCCCGGTTTTCTGTTCGGGGATCACACTGAGGATCCTGCTACGTTGACTCTTACTGAAGAGCATTGGCTGAATCTTCACGAGGGGGCTCTCCTATACATTCCCTCCATTCCTCGTCAGTATTCCTTCACTCATTTGGAGGGACAGGCCGTGGAGCGACAGATGTCTTGGCATCTTACCCATGATGTTGATCGGGTTCAGTGTGGATATACTTCTCATCATAAGACTCCTGGTTCTGCCGGGTATCATTACATCCGCGGTCTTCGACCAGGAATTACGGGTCTTAATACTGCACCTCCGGGCGAGGTATCAGCAACTGCTCCTACCGTGAAGAACCGTCTGGCTCATCTTGGGAGGAGATTACCTCCACCAGATTCTAGGTGCTATGGTTGGGCTTTCTCATTACCCAAGGGATGGTGGAAACGCATGACCAGTTATGTCTTGGGACGCTGGGAGAGGGATTTGAAGAGCAGTGGATTGTATGCCCCTATACGAGCCACCATGTACGGACTCTAGGTCAGCTGCCGCCATTTCTTCGCGTTGTTGGAGACATACATGCCCGACAGTAACACGTTCCTGACCAGCGGCGGAGAGTTGGGGTTGGCCTTACATGAGATGCATCAGGTTTCTAGCCTTCCGATGGGGGATTGTCCATACCAGGAGTACTTTCCCTCGAACCAGCAGTTGGAGTGGTTGAAGACGGATACTCCCGATATGTACGATACTCTTTGGGACCTTACCTGCCATTATCATACCTCCTTGATCCAAACTTCTCCTCCAGCGAAGAGAAAAAAACAGATCAGCTTGAAGCAGTTTGCTATCTATTTGTTTCCAAATTTGGAGGGTGATTCCGGCGAGCCCCTTCGTGAGTTAGACATCTTGACCCCAACCGCCGTTAATGAGTTGGTGGAAAAGGCCGAGGCCCATTCTTACACCATTGCCAGTGTTGAGGGAGCTTTTCCTGTAGGGACCAAGTTTCATTCGTTCCTTCGCCGTGCACAGAAGTCTATTGAGCCCCGGACTCTGCTAGCAGGCTATCTCGCTCTTTGGTTGAAGAAGTGCGTCGTTCCGTATCAGCAGTCAGACGCCTTACCTCTCGAGGTGCTCTTTCCTACAGTCCAGCTAGCTTATGGGAGGGAGCTTTCCCTGCTCCCAGCCATGGTCGCTGATATCCATTGTGGGCTTAGGTCTCTCGTCAGTAGTTTTACACAGGTGGGTCATGAACCATCGACTGAGCTTATTTGTCCGAAGATCGAGCTTCCTTATGCGTATCTGATGGCGTGGCTTGTTCTTCACCGTCCTGACTTGATGTCGGCGCCCAGCGTTGTTGATGTCCCCGTTCCTTTCATGCAGATGTTGGAGAGGAGTAGATGGCTCGGGAAGAAATTCAGTGATGCACAACGAGAGCTTCAAGTTCGTAAGAGCTGGGAGTTCTTCAAGTGTTTTCCTCACTTTTCGGGTCGCTATGGTGATGTGCTGATTGATGAGGAGAAGCCCAGAACTAATCGGACTGCTCTCGACGTAGGTTGTTTCCGCTGGTTGGTGAACATCCGCGTCAGGTATCTCATTCTTCGGGTGAAGAACTGCTGCCACATTGAGCCTTACCTTCCCTACCATTTTGCCCGTCAGTTCGGCTATGACCAACTATATATTAGGAATCCGAGCCGTGGTTTGAGGGTTGAAGGAGGGCTTATTGACGGCGTACGAGCATGGCTATGGACTATGGTGGGCTGCACTGGAGCCCACTTTGCTCTTCCTTCATATAGACGCCAGCCGTTGATTACTTTCCTCAGTTGCAAGTGGTTCCTTTCCGCCAGTGAATCCATAGGTGTGAAGAGCCTTTCAGAGTTACAGTCTGAGCACTCGGTCCAGATCGCTATGATGGCTGCCCATAAAGCTGAGCTTGCTAGAAGACAGGGAAGGAAGACTGCTAAATCTTCTCTTTTGAGCAGAGATAGGACGGAAAGTGACGAAGAGCTTCTCCCTACTGATGATGAGGACGAGACTTCTGAGGAGGAGCATGTAGACATAGATACTGACCAAGAAAATCTTGATGCAGGTTTGTCATGCTCTTTTTGATTGGTATCAACAAAAGGTCTTATTCACTCGCCCTAACGAAATGACTCCTATTATCCCAGGTAGGACATCCGATGAGCACGAGTCGCTCGCTGCTCGTTACGCGAGACACCGGCCTAGCGGCAAAGCTCCTGCACAGGTTGCGGCTCGTGGCAAGTCTACGCATGAACGACCCGTTGGTTCTATGAGGGCTGGTACTCCGAAGAAGAAGAAGACTGCTCATAAATCACACGTTGGCCAGCGTCCCTATGGAGTGGATTTAGGAGGCATCGCCGATGGTGAGGAAGGTAACATTTCGTCATTTTTATTTCTTTAGGATGTCTCACCTTCTGGGATTCGTAATCATGTTTTATGTTCCAGGGTACTATGACGAGGGCGAGCTTCCACCGGACCCCGTATTCACTGATTCTGATAATACAGATAACTTCGTGCAGCAAATGTGCGACGCCATTCGGGATGGTTCCCTGGGTATTGATATGAACATTGACACCGAGCAGGCTAATAGTGTCAAGCCCACTACTCCATGTCCAGGTATATCTAAATTCGATGATACCCTCGTTGAGTAGCATTTGGCGGAGTTAGAGAAATCAGGATTCATTATTTTTTGTGCCTCGCATTCTTTCAGATTTCCTGAATAACTCAATCATGGGTATTGGGGAACAAGGATCTTCTGTTCCTGCTACAGGTATTTCTGAGCTCTTCCTTCTTTCCCGTCTTCTTGTATGCATATCCAACACTTAAACTGTTCTGCAGATGTCGTGATGGAATAGCCAGTCGAGGATCAAACCTTTCATGATGTGGGCTTCGAGGAACAGAGGTGTGCCTCTGCACCTGACTTCTCGGGACCCGACGCTGGATTATTAGCCGATATGCTGGCTGAGCAGGCAACCAGAAGAACCATGGGACCACCCTTTGAGGGTGATACATTCACAGGTATATGTCTGATTCTCTTCATTTTGCCCGGTCTTTTGTCTGACTAACGAAGGATTAATATTACAGCGCCAGTCATTGAGACTAACCCCGTATCGATTCCCGGCATATCTAGCTTACCTCGGAGTGACGGACTTGCAGGTACGCATACGATTTAGGGACATCGTGCTCCTTTTTATTTATCTGACTTTTGACTAATATATGGGTGCAATCATAGGACCAGCCACCGGGACTGATACTCTTATGACTCCTGGCATCCCCCGGATACCTGAGGATGATGGACCTACAGGTATGCCGATGACCTTATCATTCCGACCCTCCTTATTTGTCTAAATTTTCATTTTGACTAACAAAGAAGTGTAACTATAGGACCAGCCGTTGTGCCTGATGCTACTACAGTTTCTGGGACTGATAGTTTGCCTAAGAGCGGTGTTTCCCCGCCACAGCCGAGAGGTATGACCGATTTGCCTACAGGGGTCGATATACCCTCCATGACTACTACTGTAGTTATTTCGGAACCTGTCGGATTTCAGCCTGAGGGGACCTCCGTTGGTATTGGTATGCTCGGAATTTGCCTTTAAATTTTCTTATCGTATTCGATAATCTCTTAACTTTCCACACTGTTTCTTGTAGGATCTCGATCATCTCTATATGAGCGTGTCCGCGCCCTCTTGGCTGATACCGACCCCGACAAAGACATTTTCCGTACAGACCTCGGCCTTTTTACCGTCTTTTATAACGGCATGATCGAGAAACTTCTTCATCGAGGATATGGTTTCGATCAGTTCAGGCGTTCCTTTTCTCGTCACATGCCGATGTTCAGAGAAGAAGGGTATCCAGAGTTGGCTGATTCCTTCACTGCCGATTTTGCTGTTCTGGAGTCGGAGATCCGAGAGTTGAAGGAGCTGAAGGCTAATGGGGTTTATTCCTTCGTGTCCTCTCAGATGGAGCATAGGCTGGCACAGTGGCGTGACCTGAGATCTTCCATCGGCAGTGAGCTTCAGTCACATAAGCGTTCGGTTGCGCAGCTGATGGCTACGGTGGCGAGGAGGGATACAGATAGGGCCGAACTACTCCGCTCTTTGGATTCCGGTCGCGAAGAAGTGGCTAGGTTGAAGGAGACCTTGAAGCACGCCGAGGAGTCCATTATTATCATTGCAGAAGACCTGGCTGGAGTGGAGCATTCTCGTGGACAGGCCCTCGAGAAGCTAGGATCTACACAGGAGAGATTGATGAAGCTGAAGAATGAAGCCGCTTTATGACTTTTCTTTATTTACTTTGAATTCAGCTATGATAAGATTTACAGGATTTTTGGCAAACCCCCAGCCATCAACGGGTTTGATATGTCTTTACCGATTACCGTTTGAATCGGACTAGCATGTGAATTATTAAAACCCGTCTCACATGTAACGTTGTGCTAAGAAAATCTCTTTTCTTAGACTAGATGCTATGATTTTGAATACATAGGCTTAACCATTTCTTATAGGGAAAAGGTACCCCGCGCCGCGTATTAGACGACGACTTATCCCTTCTTAGGCTTCGGGATAAAATTCCCCAGGTTTAGACCCTGGTGTCTTTTTCAATCGGCGAAAGACTAAACCGGCAATGTGTGTTAGACATAGACTTTGGGATTTTTGGCAAACCCCCAGCCTTCAACGGGTTTGATGTGCCTTTACCGATTACCGTTTGAGTCGGGCTAGCATGCGTATTGTCTAAATCCGTTCCGCATGTAACGTTGTGCTTAGAGAGTGAATTCTCTGAGACTTTATGCTATGATGCCGAATACATAGGCTTCGCCTTTGTTACGGGAACAGGCTACCCGACAACACGTGTTAGGTGTTGACTCGTCCCTACTTAGGCTTCGGGATAAAATTCCCCAAGCTTAGACCTTGGTGTCTTTTTCAATCGGTGAAAGACTAAACCGGCAACGCATGTTAGGCGTAGACTTATCTCTATTTAGGAGTCGAGATAAAATTCCCCGTGCATCAAGTGCTCGGATTGGAAGTTGGGAGTTGTGTCTTTTGTCAGAATAAAGACGGATTGGGAAACAGGAGAGGAAGAATTTTATATTCTATCTCCCGGGACTGAAGAGGAAGAATTTTATATTCTATCTACAGTCGGAGAGGAAACTCAAGGTGGGATCTCCACCCCCAGAATCCGAAAAGATGAAACTAAGAGTGGGATCTCCACTCCGAGAATCGGAAAAGTTCAAACGGCCCTAGCTTTTATAGGATTGGTCATTTGAATCCAAAAGAATCCCTCATTCATTGAGGAGAAAGCCCAATTTCGACCCTACCTTTTATAGGTTTGGTGGAAAAAGGAACAAAGACGGATTTTCGTTTATCGAAAAGGAACGACTCGGTCTTAGTCCTAACCATTTGTAGGTTTGACTAATTGAGATCGGGAACAATCCTAACTTTTATAGGTTTGACTGTTCGAATTGAAAGTGGACCTCTCGTTCATGGGAAGAATCGAGAGAGGAAATTGGCTTTGGCTCTAGCTTTTATAGGTTTGACCCGAAAGCAAAGAGGGTGAAATACGAGAAGTGATGAAAATGCCAACTCGTATTATCACTCGAAGGAAGACTTTAATGTTAGGTGATTAGGACTTAACATATTGAGTCTGAGAAATGCCAATGACTGGCGAATAGAAATGTTGGTGGATCCACCGTCAATTAATTTGATCAGCAGATGATTTGGTGAGGAAAGATTAACCTATCAGAGGATTGGATCTCATCTCACAAAAATAACTCATAAGAGTTAGAGAATTTTGATAAAGATAAGAAGAAACATTCTGACATTCAGAGTTCGAACGTAGATCTCTTATTCATCAATTCTACAGTGACTAGGTTATCCCTAAGAATACCCTATGTGGTATTCTTCCGGGAACTTCCCGATGCATTGGTTAACCTGAAGATACTAAGGATAGTATTTTTTCAGGAACTTGCCATTTATCGGCATCATAAGCCGGTCGCCGTGAACTTGCCATTTATCGGCATCATAAGCCGGTCGCCGTCCTTGGTGACTAGGCGATATGCGCCACTCGAATAGACTGTCTATACTACGAATGGTCCCTCCCATTTGGGTTCAAATTTGCCCTTCTTTTTGGAGTTAAGGATCATAGGCCGCCTCTCAGCTAGAACCAAATCCCCTTCTTTGAAGCTTCGTTGTCGAACCTTTTTGTCGAAAGCTCGAGAGATTCTGGCTTGGTAGAATTCGATATGCTGTTGAGCTTCTAAACGCTTCTCATCTAGCCTTTCAAGTTCTTCAAGGCGCTTCTGATGTTGCTCTTCGGTCGTCATTTGAGTCGCGAGGGCAATTCGAAGCGATGAGATTTGAATTTCCAATGGAATAACGGCTTCACATCCGTATACCAGTGAATACGGGGTTGCTCCCGGTGGTGTACGCACCGTGGTCCGATAGGCCCATAGAGCCGCGCCAAGCTTGTCATCCCAGTCTCGTTTATTAGTTTTCATAAGTTTTGATAAAATCTTTATGATAGTCTTATTGAAGGCCTCGGCCAGTCCATTCGCTGTGGGATTGTAAGCTGTCGAAGAGATGTCCTGAATTTTAAACTTTTCGCAAAACCTGATGAAGGCGTTGCTGACAAATTGAGGACCGTTGTCATGTACGATTCGTCTTGGTACACCACGCCGATAGATGATATGGTGCTTAATGAATGCAATGACATTGCTCGTTTTAACTTCTCTGAGTGGAACTGCCTCAGCCCATTTGGAGAAGTAGTCGGTAATCGCTAGGATGAACCGGTCACCTTTGACTGATGGGGGATTTATAGGACCAACAATGTCCATTCCCCAGGTCTCAAATGGCCATGACGTAACCGAAGGATGCAGATGCTCCGGAGGTTGGTGCATATAATTCGCATGTACTTGACATGCGTGACACTTTCGGGCGTATGTGATTGAAGGCCAAAAATATCTCATTCTTCTGATGCGATCATAAAGTTTGGGACCAGGTTGGTGTGCACCACACTCTCCTTCATGTGCTTCTCTAAGGACTTCCTCAGCTTCTTTAGTCGATAAGCAGCGTGCCAGCAATCCATCGTACCCCCTGTGGTATAGCGTTCGATTCTCTGTATTATAGTAGAATCTTGGTGCTCTTCGTCGGATTAACTCTCTTTCCTTCATGTCTTCTGGTAGAATTCCATGTAAGACGTAGTCAATGATGGAGAAACGCCAATCTCAGGGTTCAAACTCAACTTGAGTTGAGTATGTTTCCTTGCTATCTTCTTCTTCACTATCCTCATTGTAGATCGGCACTAAGAGTTGGTGAGTCCTCACTGTAACAAACTGTTCTGTTTCAGGAGGCTGCGTTGGTGAGTTCTTACCGTAACAAACTGCTCTGTTTCGGGAGGCTGCGCCAGTGATACGGCTAGTGCTGCTAACGCGTCTGCGTAGGTATTCTGTAGCCGTGGAATATGTTCGATAAAGAATCCTTCGAATGATTCTGCCATCTCCACTGCCATCTTATGGTATGGTATTAGATCTTGGCTTCGTACCTCGTACTCTCCCTGAACTTGTTTAACTATCAGTTGAGAATCGCCGAAGGCTTCGAGGTACTCAACCCCCAGTTCTTTGGCGAAACTGAGTCCTATGAGTAATGCATTATATTCGGCTACGTTATTCGAGCACGGTTCCGTCAACGAGTAAGCTCGAGGCATCACATGCTTTCCTGGGGAAACTAAAACAACTCCCACTCCGGAAGAAATCTTAGAACTTCCAGGAGCACTGGCTACATTAGTTGCTCGTGAAGCGCCGTCAAAGTATAAACGCCATACTTGCTGGTGCGAAGTTGTGTTTACTTCGTGGGTTTCATCGGGTAGATCATCATATATCTCGGCGGTATCCGCAGTTGGATTAGCTGCCAGGAGATCACAGATGGCTTGTCCTTTTACCGACTTCTGTTGTTTAAAATGTAAGTCGTATTGGGACAAGAGTAAAGCCCATTTCGCTAATCGCCAATTTATGGAAGCTGGTTGAGTCATGAATATTCGGACTGGGTTAACCTTAGAGATAACATAAATGGTCTGTCCGCATGGAAGCTGGTTGAGTCATGAATATTCGGACTGGGTTAACCTTAGAGATAACATAAATGGTCTGTCCGACCAGATAATGCCGCATCTTCTGAATAGCTTAGAGATAACATAAATGGTCTGTCCGACCAGATAATGCCGCATCTTCTGAATAGCGAACACCAAGGCAAGGCACTCTCTCTCGATCATGGGATATCGAGACTCAGCGCCTACCATGGTTCGGCTTAAATAATACACTGCCTGCTCGTGACCATTATCGTCATCTTGTGCGAGTAATGCACTTAATGAGTGGTTCGTCGCCTTGACATAAATCAAGAACGGTTTGCCCGATTTCGGTGCGACGAGTACAGGAGGCTTTGAGAGATATTCTTTAATACTCTCGAATGCCTTTTGACAAGCGTC